ATCATATTCACAAAAAAATAACTCAACACACAGCCATTAATGTCTAAACTGATGCCAACAAAAGTGAGTACACTGCTAAGTCGAAATGTCTAAATTGGGCCCAATTAGCCATTTTCCCTCCCCAGTGTCATGTGACTCTTTAGTGTTGCAAGGTCTCATGTGTGAATGGGGAGCAGGTGTGTTAAATTTGGTGTTATCGTTCTCACACTGTCTCATACTGGTCACTGGAAGTTCAACATGGCACCTCATGGCTCAAAGAACTCTCTGAGGATCTGAAAAAAAGAACTGTTGCTCTACATAAAGATGGCCTAGGTTATAAGAAGATTGCCAGGACCCTGAAACTGAGCTGCAGCATGGTGGGCAAGACCATACAGCGGTTTCACAGGACAGGCAGGGCCGGCGCTTCCTATAAGGCACCTAATCTTACGTAAGAAATAGGTGGATGCAGGCAATGTTTTTAAGGGGGGATTGGCAGCATTTGGTAACAAGACGGGATGTGTGGTGCAAAGGTGAGGCCAGAATCATAGATAACGCCAAGCGAGTGCGCTTGCAACGATGAGCTGATGCACATACCATCAACTTGAAGGGAGAGTGAAAAAGAGGAGTATTGGTATTATGAGGAGGAAAGATAAGAGGCTCAGTGTTAAAGATACTGAGTTTTAGAAAGTGTGAGGACATCCAATCAAAGATGCAACTGGTGACACACTCTAGACCAGCAGGGGAGAAGAGATATAACTTGGTGTCATCAGCATACAGGTGGCAGTAGAATCCAAAGGAGTTAATACGTTTTCCAAGAGAAGCAGTGTCAAGAGAAACCAAAAGGGAGAGATAGGACAGGAACCACGAAAGGGCAGTGTAACAGAGATCGAGGGAGTGTAGATTTTGCCGAAGGAGAGCATGATCAACAGACAGGAGAAGCAGAGACGTCTAGACAAATTAGTATTGAGTATTTAGCCTCATTAGTTAAATCATTAGTTACTTTAATCAGAGTAGTCTCCGTAGAACGAGGAGACAGAAGCAAAATTCAAGGGGTCAGGGAAAGCGTTGATGTTGAGAATGCATGTTAAACGTTTGAAGACAAGTCGTTCTAGAAGCTTTGAGGAGAAAGGATTACGAGTATAGAAATTGAATGGTACTTAGAAAGTAAAGACGGGTCAAGAGATGGCTTTTTAAGGATATGTGCGACAGTAGTATTTTTAAGGGAGTGGTGACAATGCACCACTGTATGCAAAGATGGGTTCCAAAAGGTGAATCGAGTGAACTTCAAATGAAGAGAAAGAAAGCGAAGGGGTGGCTAGAGGTTTGAAGGGGCAGTTGGGTGAAAGCAAAACCCCCTACCCCCACCACCCTTACTGTACATATATATATATATATATATATATGTATATACGTGAGCATATGTATATGTAAGTATATGTGTTTGTATGTGCACATAGGTATAGTATGTTGTCAGACATATTATGCCAGAAAATATGAATATCGTTCTATTACTCACACTGCAGGTCACACTTACAAAAATTATATCACAGACATTTTTGTAGCTATTTAAAACCAAATAGTGGGGGAAAAAAATCTGACATTGAGAAAAGTTGAGAAGACAAATTGTTCATTGACACCCAAATGCCTTATTAGATAATGGCCTAATTCAATTTACAACTTCGAAACACTTCGACCACTTTAACTAAGAAAGTAAACAAACAGATTTTATTGATTCTGGCAAACTATAAAGTTTAGTAGTTTAGCTGCCCAGTTAATTTGGTTTGCATACATTTGTGGAAATAGTTGGTTATTAGAGATTGTCTAAACAAATCATTTATATTTTGTAGAAGCAGCAAATGTGGTTTCTGCTTCTTTATTGCATAAGATATTGTAATGTTATACCATGTCAGTTCATGGTCAAGAATATTAAATGTTAATTCAACATGTTATGTTGAGTTGTTGCATTGGTTGGTGATACATTCTTTGAGCCAGTAACTAAATTTCTCATTATCCAAATTTCATTTTCTACTCTGGAAATTATATTCTAACATCCTTGAAGCAATTTTCTTTGTTAAGTATTGTTTGATCATTGATTATGTTACTATCGTATAGATTGTTGTTGTCACAATAAATTATATTTTAAATCATATAGTATTGAATGTTATATAGTATTGAATTAAAAATTAGATAGAACTACAAGAATTTAGGGTCAGAGACATAAAAGAATGTATCTCTTTAAATAAAAATTGTATGCATGTTTCTATAACCAATATTGCCACATTAATATCCATATTATTAATAATTAAGATTTTAAAATTTTACTAAAATTATGAATTTATTCATATTATTGAATATTTTCACAAAATAATATTTTTCATGTTTTGTCCCACAATTATCTCTCTGCAATGTATATGTATAGGTGTTTATGTATGGGTGTATGCCCAAATGTGCGTGTGTATATATATATATATATATATATGTGTGTGTGTGTGTATATGAGTGTATTTATATGTATGAATGTATGCGTGCATATGTATATGTATGTAGGTATGAATATATGTTTGTTTGTTTATTTGTATATGTATGTGCTGGTTTTACATATACCTTCATGCATATTCTGGATTCTTTAATGTGAGTACATGCATTCTTACTCTGTGTATTTTTTTTTTAAACTCTCACCCTTCAAAAATGTATTTTTTTTTTTGGGGGGGGGAGAGGTAAGGGGGGTTGTTTGTTTTTTCTATCAGACCTGTGTTATCTGAACTCATGAAGCTTTACGCCCTGTACCACAACTTAACCTTTAGTTCTGTGTGTTGTTTTTGCTCAGACGTGCTTGAGAAATTGAGGATCTCTCAAAAAAATATAGTCATTCCCAAATGCTGTTAGTCCAATACAAAGGGTATTATGAGATACTAATTTCAACTGTTAATTTTCATCTGAATCACTGGACTAATACAGCTACAATCGCGACTCCAGCACTGTATATTAGGGATCGACCGATTACCGTTCTGAACAATATTATCGGGCAATAATCACCATTTAAAGCAATATCGGTAACTGCCTATAATGATACTGATATTTGGCGATAATGCCTGCGGCAGCCGGGAAACTGTGCATGCCTCTTCAGCGCCTCTCTCCTACTCTCAAGAGTAACACACCAGGCTTTTGAGAGATGGAGAGAGGTCCTGATGGAAACAAAAGATAGTGTGCACAGGGTCCCGGCTGCCGCAGGCATTATCGGCAATATCGGTATCATTATAGGCCCATCTACAATGTGAGTACTACACAAGTAACTAATAATACGGGCAGGAAGAGTGGATAAAAAAAAAACTGGACCACCAGGGAGTGTAGCGTATCCCTCCCTGGCCACAGGTAAAAGGCAGGAAGGGGGAATAAAAAGCCACTATACCAACATGGAGTGTAATGCCCCCCTCCCTGGCCACAGGTAAATGGCAGAGAGCGGGGAAGAATATTGGCAACAGTTATCGGTTATCGGCCTGAAAGGTCACCGAATATCAATATTGGTCGATCCCTACTGTCCTTTATTTGTGTCCTTGTCTCTTGTTCTTTCTATCTCAATCTTTCACCTTTTCTCACAATTTCTTTTAACACTGCCTTATAGAAACATAGAATGTGACGGCAGATAAGAACCATTCGGCCCATCTAGTCTGCCCAATTTTCTAAATACTTTCATTAGTCCCTAGTCTTATCTTATAGTTAGGATAGCCTTATGCCTATCCCACGCATGCTTAAACTCCTCTACTGTGTTAACCTCTACCACTTCAGCTGGAAGGCTATTCCATGCATCCACTACCCTCTCAGTAAAGTAATACTTCCTGATATTATTTTTAAACCTTTGTCCCTCTAATTTAAGACTATGTCCTCTTGTTGTGGTAGTTTTTCTTCTTTTAAATATAGTCTCCTCCTTTACTGTGTTGATTCCCTTTATATATTTAAATGTTTCTATCATATCCCCCCTGTCTCGTCTTTCCTCCAAGCTATACTTCTTTTTACACCTTTCTTCTCCTCTCTCCCTCCGCTTAATTCCTTTGTCGCAAAATCTTTTGTGTTTTCTCCCTCCTTCTTCCTTAATCCCCCATGTTTGCTCCTCTGTTATCCTTGTAACCCTCCTTCCTTTATTTGTCACAGAACGGAACAAATGTTACTAACAGACACAATCCAATGAAGAAGGGGTCAATAACAACAACAAAAAAACAAATACGTTAATTCTACCTCTAATGTTTCAGCTCCAAATGAGCTTTATCAGGAGTTACAGATAAGCATGGCAAAAAATAAACAGAATTTATTATCAGGTGCACTTCATTGATTATTGATTATTAAATTTTATACTTTGTATGAGGAATACACATTTTGACAGACATAGATCCCATTATCTAACATGAAATTATCAGGTATGTGTTTGTATGTGTACATAAGTATAGATGTATGTTGTCAGACACATTATGCCAGAAAATGTGAATATTGTTCTATTACTCACACTTAAAAAAATTATATCACAGACATTTTTGTAGCTATTTAAAACCAAATAGTGGAGATAAAGTTTTCCATTCACTCACAACTCGATGTTT